AGTTAAAATACAAAATACAAATACAAAACTTCAAAAATTTTAAAAAACTAAGAACAAAATACAAAACAGACATTTAAAAAGTGCATTAAAAAAGGAAAAACACTAACACATGTGCACATATTATCCCCCTAGTTGAATACTGATTAATATGTTACAACAATATTAGTTTCCCACCCCTTGAAAAACACCCCCAAATCTTTAAACTAATAAATCTATTTGCAAGTTATTAACCTCTCATCTATATACTATATTAATGACATAATAGTTAACAAGAAGAATAGTAATAAAAAAGGCAAGATTAAGGTTTCAAAACCTTCTGTTAACAAACTGTTATTGTAATCAACATGTAAAAAATTTACCATGACATCTTATCAATCCCAAATCATTCCAAAAGATAACAGTGATTTGTCCTGGATCAATTTCCATGTTTGTTTCTTAATACCGTCTATTATCAATGATTTATATTGTAAAGTAATATGTTAAACAAGGTGAAGTATGTTATGTGAATGCAGCCAATACCTAGAACAGTCACCTGTTCTGTCAACCATTCTGCCTATCAAATCCTAACATGACAGAGAAATACCTTTGACTAGCCATTTCCCTGAGATGTTGATTTTCTATGCAACCAATTTATTGATTGAGGATTTTTTTCCAGAGTTTATCTTCCAGAGCTATTTAAGCGCATCTTGCATATTTTGGCAAGATGAAAATAAAAACTACTATAAAACCAGACTTTCTTATTCTTTGAATAAGTGTCCATCCTCTTGTAGTAATTTATGTTTAAAATGTTTTGACAATATGATCAAAAGATTAATTCCTGAAACAGAAAGGTGAATTCCTTTGGCATTTGCTATGACTGTAGAAAATGTTAGAAGAAAAGTATCATATTATAAATAGTCAAGAGGTAAAATGGGGTCCATTTTTCTACAAACCCAAGACCCATTTCTCCATTTGATCACTGTGTTCAATTATGAGCTCACTTATATGCCAACTGTCCTTTTTTTTTTTTTTTGCAAATGCACAACTTTCTGATCATAATTAAATTTGTGTTCACCAATGTTTGCACATCAGAACCCTAGCTGCTGTATTAATTTTATTTACTTGAAAGATTTATAAGGCCACCCATCTTTTGGCACACAACTCAACAATAATGATAAAAACACAAACAATAAAATGATAAATGTTAAAAAGAAAAAGAAAAAAATATCAAGAATGTTCACATCTCTGGGTATGAATTATCTTCCAACCAGGCCGTTTTGATTCAGTTAAATACGGCTTGGTTCCCAATCGTCAGATGTGTTTCCTAACATATTTGGATTTGTGTTTTAATTTGAGAAGACTTTGACTGTTTTATGGAATTTATTTGCTGTTGTCTCTGCCTTCCCTATAGCTGGTATTTTATTTAGTGACAGAAAATCTGCACTATTTATGGATTTTTTTTTCACTATAAAACTACTGCAGTCCTATCACATGGCATCTTCTCCTAAGCCATCTGTCACAGAGGTCTGGCATTTTATGTGAATGTTGGTCAGGCAGACTTAACCCAAGATTTTTTATTATGAAAAATGTTTGCAACTACAATATTTAGTATTTTACTTTACAGTGGTTATTAAACTTGATTACTTTGTAGCTCTCTTTCATGGCTGCACTTATATATCAACTATGAAGCCAAAAAAACACAAGGGTAATTATGGCAATGCAGTCAGGCCCTGGAAAGTTCATCTGGCAATGATACAGTTAATATCTTGGATTTTTGTAAGTAAGAGTTATTAATGCTGATATAAAACTGTATTTGATTTTATACAGATGGCATAAGATGTGGTTACTAAGTTATTATCCGGGATAAGCTGTACTGGCAAATTCAGGGTTTAAAACTATCACAGGAGATTAAATTATTTACTAAAAAGGGACAGAAAGATATAGTGAAAGCATCTTACCATGAACATATTATAAGTATATTTACTTCCCATAAATATAATGAAGTATATCTCTCTTAAAATGAGGGATTAAAACGTGACTGTTATCATAGAAGAGTTTCTCATTTGTACACAGAAAAGTAATTGGCCCAATTGTTTTCAGCTTTTTCCAAGGAAAGCAAGAAAACTGATATTTCAAAAACCTTATGCAAGTATCATGAAAACTTTACATTTTCTGGATAATTTTCTAACATTATATGAGCAACATACTCTAAAAGGATTGTTATTTTAGCAGCTTATCAAAATTGTTTATTCTTTTATAACTTTTTTCAGGATTTATTCTGTTTGGTTGTCTTTGTCTTTTTCTCAGTAACCAACATACTGAATTCGTGTCCAAGCATTTATGGTGGAGCAACTAATCATACAGCAGATACATTTATCAGTCAGGATTTATAATAAAACTTTTTATAAAAATAATTCAAGAACATTCTAGTCACTAAAGCAGTAGCTGATCTGATTTGGCAACATGTGGTTCACAGGTTAAGGAAGATAACGACCAAGCGGCCAGTTAATCATACTTGAGAAGTAGTTTCACATATTTATTTATTTAAAGTATGGCATATCATACGTGGACTTGCAATATATATTAACATTTCAGCTAGATTAAAAAAAACCATAACAAAATATGAATGTTAAAAAGATCTATATTAGATATCAAAGTCTAGGTTATCTAACCAATGAAGCTTCATTTATATGAAGAAAAAAAACCAGATACTGGACCAGTATATGCCCTGTATTTTTTTCCTCACTTCCTATACTTTCCTACTACCTAGAAGAAATTCAGGATAACTCAGTAAAACAGTTTAGCATTGGATTCTGTCAAGAGCTGAATGTCAAGGTTTATTGAGATAATTTGGGATAAGTTGTGAAGTACATGAGATAGAATGTATCCCTCTAGCCTGCTTGGTCCCAATTAAAACATTCCCACAGTGCATTTGGCCAATTTGTTGCTCCAAATTTACATCCAGGTTGTACTGGGAGGGAGAAAAAAAAATTACACTGAATGACAGCGCTTCCTCTTGAGATCAGACCACCACTATAGCCTGTTTGAAGGGTTGCAAACATCTTGGAAGGAGATGTTTATTTTGTCATTTGCTTTATTTGTTATTTCCTGTTGCATGGTGATATTTCATGAGCTGATTTAGATGTCTATTTGATATTTTATTGAAAAGATTATTGAGGGAATTTTTTATACATTCCTCTACTCTCAACATAACATATTTGTGAAGGACATCATCATCATTTCTTTCCATCATCCCTTCCCTTTAATTTAAGTGCCTTAAACTTGTCCCCAAACACCTTCAACCTACCGGTGTAAAATTTGCTAGGAATACTCTTCCCTGAAATCCCATTTTACTGTAAATGTCGTGATATTATGATTCAGAATTTAAATGCTACCAAATTTCCTTAAAACATAACAACCTAAGGCATTGTAGCTCAAAAACCTTTGCAAAGATTCTTATGAAAGTGGAAACTTCTTACAACTTTCTTATAAACTTTCTGTCTAACTTTCCTGAAAATATAGCTGTTGTGGTATATATTTTATGTTTCCAATACTAGATTATGGGAGAGTTGAATTTTGTTTTTTCTGAATAAGTTTTGGATCCAGAAAGTGAGTGTAATAATACAGCTCTCTGAGTGGATTTAACAATTTCTGAATACCATAGTAACCTAAACATTTTCAGTTTTGCAATATTTTATAAAGGGAATATATAAAGCAAAAGCACTGTTCCATATCTCATTCATCCATCTTTAAACAAAAGTTATCTCTCTCCTGGAATCACCTTTCTCAACTCTACAACTTTACGATTTGTATTTTAATTTGTATTGTATTAATTTTGTTTTGTCATAGAATTAATAGTTGTTCTCCAGATGCTGATTGTTATGTTCTTCTTGTTGTATTAATTTATTAAAACCTAGTTTAGTGCTTAGTGCCAAAAATCTATTTAAAAATATGGTGGCAATTGCATTGCTCCTAAATTTTGGTTGTGTAGTTCCTGGGACTACCTTGCCCACAAAAAAGATACAGGAATGATAGAGTTCATTTGCTATAGGTTGAGTATCCCTGAATTAGAGAGTAAATTGAAATTCCCTATTCTTCCTCTGTACCAAAGGATGCTTAGATAAATGCAAGGGACAGCAATCCTAACTGGTTTGGCGTATAGGGTTGTCTCAAACCTGGAGATGTATTATATTTTAACTCCCCCAAATTCTTGGTCAATAGGGCCTAAAGGAAATTGTAGCATTTAGCTCACACATCTGGGAAAGCATCAGGTTAAAAATCCTAATTGAATCTTTGTAGGTCAAAACCTTTCAATAGTTCAGTTAAGATACTTTTGTAGATAGCAAACATGCATAAGGTATCATATGGAAAAATACAAATAATTTGGCCATAAGGCAAGCTACAGATCAACAAGAATAATTTATATCTGATTTTGTTCTTTATAATGTCCAATGAGATATTATATTTAAAAGAGGAGTACCACCCACATTTATTACGATAATCCTTTAACATGATCTTATAATTCAGAGTGCACTTTAGATCAAGTGAGATTGTAGCTCCTATGTAAAGGACAAATGTTTTTGCATTTCTTTACCCTCCTCTAATGCAAATGTACTATCTGTAGTGTATGGGGGAAGGAAGGAATAAAAAAATAAGATTGATAAGCAATGAATTTATGCTTTGATCCAAAACGGATCATAATTATTTGCATATAAAAGGAGCAAGATTTAAATTTTAAACATATCCTCTGATTTAGTATATACAGTTTACATTTAGGAAGCCCCTTTTCCAATTCTGCTTGCAATATATATTGTAAGTATTCAAACACAGAAAGAGCATTATTGAAGTATCACTTAAGTCTGCCTAAGAATTAAATATTAATGGGTGTAAACTGTAAAGCTGGTTTTAGATTTAGACATATTTAAATAATAAGAGGCATTTTCACTTATCCCTTAAAAGCTCCACATGTCTTAGGGTGCCTCTGCAAACAGCGCTTTAAACATTTCTCTCTTATGTTTCAGGGAACTGAAATAGAAGTAGATGAAAATGGCACTTTGGATTTGAGCATGAAAAAGAACCGAAGTCAAGAAAATATTGGTTCTCTAAGTTCCTTCAGTGCAAGTGTCCCCACTCCTTCCTCCTCTCCCCTCAAATCAGGCAGCATTCTGGTCAATGCCACTTTCTACCAAGCTTTGAATGAAAAAGAAGGTTGGGATACACCAATCAATTATAGCAAGAGCCAAGGCAAAAAAGAGGAAGAGAAAGAGGTATTTTGTTTTATTTTACTTGACAATACCCAGGGGTGATGGGAATCAACTCTAATTTTGGACTGTTTATTTTCCAATGCATAATTTGAGTTAATGGCAGATACCACTGCATCCCTAAATATAAACAAATGCAATTCAACTAGAAGTTGGTTACTGTCTTAAGGACTGATCAAGGTTATTTCTGCCTATACGATGCTGGCAGAAAAAGGGATTTAGAATGATGTGCCATTAACTGTTACATCATGTTCATTTCTGACAGTATGGTGGTTTTCCTAGAAAACTCAGATTTTGGCTGCCAGATTTTTATGAGAATGAAGAGAAAACATTCAACTCTCTATACCAGGCATATCAAACTCGCGACGTCACGTGACGTCACGCGACGTATCAGAGCATTTTTGCCATTGCCGGCAATGGGGTGGGCGCAGCTCTGGTATGATGAAACCGGCCCACGGGCCAGCAGTTTGACACCCCTGCTCTACACCTATCTGTACTTTTAAATATTGCTCATGGCTGAAAGGGTTGTAGTTTAGCATCTGAAAGACCAGGTCAATAAGTTCTTTAACCCTATTTTAGGAAGGCAGATATGCATTTTTCAATATTTTTAAGCAGGAGGCCATGTCTAAAGTTTAGAGTGCATGTTGTGAGTTTCCTTAAAATGGCTGCTACAGGACAATTTGTTCATCTACACAAACACACAAATACACATAAATGGGAATGCTTCTTCTCTCTAATTTAGTCATGCTAAGACACTCCCTACATTTAGGTTTTTTTTAAAAAAAAAAATAGATAAATATGTTTCCAAACAAAGCAGTCATCCTCTATTTTATTTTCTAAGAATGTTTATGAGCCCTGTGTAGAACCCAATAGTATTCTTGTAGAGACAGATAATGCTTTAGGCTGGTGTCCTGTTTGTAGCATGCTAAATCTCTGATTAATTTTGTTCTTAAAAGCTATATCTAAAAAAGCTCTGACCAGTCTCTAGGAAGACATTTATGGCCACATTCATCTGTTCTTGCTGCTTTCTATTTTGTTGATATTCACCATATAGAAGCCAAAACCCATCTAGGTCTAAATATTTATTATATTTAAGCCTTTGACTTAAAGCCATACTACTGGTATATAACAGAATAATAATCTTCAAACAGAGAGTTGACCAACCCTAAGCCAAAAAAATGGAGCAACAATTAAGGTAGAAAGAGGTATGCAAATCAAAGATACTAGATATCCATGTACTGTTCTCTATCATCTATATTTTCAGCCTCGTTTTGACCCTGGAAATTATCCAGGTTTGGTGTAGGGAGTGGAATCAGACAGGAATACAACAGATATGTGAAGATTCAATACAGCTTGAATTTGAAATCTCAATTGCCAGAAACATATAAATCATATAGAAATTGACCCTTGGACAGTGATCATCAAAGAAATCAATCAAGCACTTAAAATATAAGCCATATCTCATTTGCTCCTCTGTATTCTTCATCATGGCATTCACAAAACATCAACATGCATATCAGTATAGTGCATCAATTTGGTTTACAATAGAAGCTGAACAGGAAACAAAAATGCAGCTGTGGGCTGATACTCTCCCTTACATAAATAAGACAAATATTTACATAAAGGGAATCATCATTTGAAACAGATACTGTACTAAATTATAATTTAAACCCTGATGGTTTCCTTGATTTTTGTTATGCCCTTTTCATTTATATGTTTATTGACTGTTGATAGTACATTTCTTGTTTGTTTTCTCCCTTCCCCCAACTTTTTGCCCATGTTTTCTATACGAATGTTGTTGCCAGAATTAAGCAAAGTAGAGTATTATTTAAACCTACTCTTATGATGAATAATCAGCATCAGATTTTTATAATGCGCGTTGAATGACACTTAGATAAATTAACAGGAATCAGCACTGTTTATTCAGATTTATCTTTGTGTACAACATAAGAACAGTGCATGTATAATGACTGCCAGGTGGAGACCATATTAATTACATGAAAATTAGTGCAGAAAGTAGGAGATTTATTTCCATGTCATTTCAATCTTGCATTGCAAAGAAGGATTGCAGTTATATAGGAAGAGCCATCACCCCAATCTCTGACTTGCTGCAATTAAACAGCTGCTTTAAAGCTTTACAATAAGCATTCTGTGTTTTACTTCAATGAAACACATAAGAACACAATGGTACAATTTGAGGCACCAATAGAAGAGAATATTTGTAGCTCAGGGATGGACTGTGGGGTTTTGGGTGCTTTCTGAGCTTGGTAGTTTTCTTGCAGACATTTTATTACCAAACTAGGTAATATCATCAGTGCTAAAAAATGCCTACAAGAAAACCACCAAGTTCAAAGAGCACCAAGGACCCCACAATTTGAAGTCATAGGACCTCAAGTGGCCCTCCTAGCCTTAGGAAGGAAAACAAAATTAAATTGTTGTGTTTCTGCCCTACCTTTTCTAGTTCTGACTCTGAGAGCCATTGACCATCCATTTGTTTTTGATAAAAATATGGCAAAAAAATTATTCATCCCCATCCCATAGTAAAATTACAAGTAATATTGAAAAACTGTCCAAATGATTGGACTGATTTTTGACCAGATCAAAGAACCTCATAACCTATTGTTGAAAGAAGGCTATGATTTCTCAAATGCAACTAAAGCCTTACAAAGTATACATATTGCTATTCAAGTAGATTTCAGCTATGCTGGATTTTTATGAATCAAACAGAACATATCTGAATACATCAAACTTAAATGGAACCATTACTTGAAAGAAACCTGCCAAGGAATTATACTTTGAACATGTTGTCAGTTTAAAAGCGATGTCAATTACTTTGTATCAAAGGTTTTTTTTATTAAAAACAAAAGAAGATACAATATTTACATAATATTTTTTATTGTTAGCACTGCAGCTATCTGTCTGGAAATATTTTTGCTCTTACATCAATAAATCCACTCTTACAAAGCAACTTTATTTTATTTTATTTTATTATTTTTACTTTATTTTATTTTATTTATTTTACTTATTTATTTTATTTTATTTTGTCTTCTTACCAGAAAAGTATGCTAATTAGAAGAGTAAGTTATTTTCCTTGTTGAAGGAGATGAAAGGCCAGAGGGCAATCTTTTTCTTTAAGACTCCTCTGGGAAAATACAAGTGTTACATAAGAACATTCTTCATGATATTAGTGAGCAGAATAACATCTCAAGGAGGTCCAGGCAGATGCAGCTGTCTAGGAGCAAAAGAGACCCCCAAAGAGAAGGAAGAAAGCTCTGTGGAATTAGTGAGTTCTTAGAAACAT